TATGTTTGTATAGCACGTTTTTATCTGTTTTTACGGGGTATTTTCATTTGTCTTTATGACATGTTTTCATCTTCTTTAATGGTATGTTCTCATCTGTCTTAGTGGCATGCTTTTTGGTCGTTTGGTCGGGTTTTTTTCTTTTTATTTTTCTAAAGATTGATTTGATATCGTCACGACTGATTAAAATAGCGCTTATTTGATATCTTCTTGATCTTCCCTACTTTAGACTTTCGGATTGCATTTGGATACCCGATTTGCGTTTGTAGATAGCTTTCACATCGCTCGAGACTGATTTACGGTTTATCGGTAGTCTTTCAATAATTTCATCCCTTTTTGTGGTTCATTTGTCGATACGATCAAATCTATTTGTATCTATCTTTGTTTGAGTTTCTTGTTTAGATTTTAATCTTTCCTTGTATGGTTCTTATGTGATCTTAACCTACTAGTTTTGTTTCAATCTTTGTAGGAACTTGTCCTAATTATGTGTTTAATTTACGATTGTGATTGTAAATCTTTATTGTAATTTGGGATATTTCCTATTTTAAATAAAATTAGTTGTTTCTATAAAAAAAAACGAACTAAGCTTATCAATTTTATTAAAACAAACACTTCAACAAATAAGATTGAATCATTCAAATTTTATCTCAATTCAAGTTTAAATTAATAAATTTTAAATTCCATGTCAATTTTAAGTTCGATTCATTCTCAATTTCTCACCATTCACGTTACCTTCCCTCATGGCTTCACCTTCCCTATCAATATCATCCTCATCATCTTCATTTGATCAACTTAAGTATAGGCCATCCCTTAAGAGGAATCAAATGATTTTTTAGAGATCGTAACTCGAATTATATAAATAAAAATATTGTATTTAATTTAAATTCTAGAATTATATAGACTGGAGTTTCATATGGGCAAGGGGACTCCTTTTTATTGGGGTTCTCGTACTGCCAAAGTTGATTCAGAGTTGAGTCAACCATGTACACCATATAATGCAAGTTGGCAACTTGCGTTGCATGCATGTATGTATGTATATTTACACTACTTGGAGCTTCTTTATTATAAATCACAACTCCTATTTTGTGGATGTTCCGATACCCAACCTTTTAATGTCAATGAATCCACTCCGTCCTTTTTAATATATTTTTATATTTGTGTTCGATCCGTTTTATGTTCAGAAGTTCATGATTATTCTTTCAATAATATCATCGAACCAAATAACATGTTATGAAGTGAAAGATTAACGTGAGACGAACGATGAAAACTAACCCATATTTCTACTTGATTAGCCTAGTATTTATTTGTGGGCATCTTTTTGCTTCTTAATTAAGCTAATTTGTCTGTCAAAATGTATCAAATAATTATACTCAGTGATTCAAAAAGCCATGATTTCGGCCTCCGGTTCAACTCTAGTCAAATCTATTTAGCTTTAGCTTTTAGGGTTTAGTTGATGTTTGACCATCTCTCTCTTTTCCCATTTTTCTTGTTTTTCTAGCAAGCAACAAAAAAATAATGATATTTCATAGTAATTGCTGAGCAATTGATAGGAGAAACATTCATGCACATACAGGACAGGCCATGTCCGCCTGAATTAGTGCTTCTTTCATTCATGTAGCTGAAAATATTGTTCATCCTAGCACTTGAATCAACTTTAGGATTTAAGTTATGTATTTATATTGTTAATATCTTCAATTTAAGCTATCATAATTAGCATGGAAAATTTCTCAAACCTTGTTTCATCGACATGTTGATACAAATCAACCTTTGGATCCCATATCATAGGGAAAAAAGCACTCTCCATTCTCCAATTTCCATCATTGTGATGGAATGGAAGAGCGGAACTTAGCTTTAATCAACTCTTAATCGTGTAGACCTGAGAGACAACCATCATTCTTCTTCTTCTTGTGCTACTCTTTTGTTTTGCCTTTGCCTTTTTACACTGAAGTAAAGGTGTTCATAACTAATCATATGCCTTGATGGAATACACAGTAAAAAAGATTGCTTTTTTGGGACACAACAAGAAACAAACATCACCAAAAAGGATTGCTTCTTGGCCTAATATTTTTGCATTTCCTGTCTCATATATTTGGTATGGGTTTGGCCTGCCCATACCAATCATGTAGGATAATAGGTAAAGAAAATTTATTGCAATTTGGGAGAAAATGCTGAGAGGAAAGAGACAAACTTGAAGGCATTGCTTCATTTACATACTTGAGGGGTTTATTTGTTGAAATAACACTCCCCAATTTGGGAAAAGAAAATTTTGGGCGCTTAAATAATACCTACGGAAATTGAACACGGGATTTTTGGGTTGTTAAGCAAGGCCCAACCATTAAGCCGAAGTAGTTAATTGGTTTAAATTTGATTACATACGTTACTTATAGTATATATTAGTTTAAACTTAAATTCTTAATACTTTATATGTCTTAACTTAAATTCACGTATTAAATTAATTTTACATCTTAACATTTAAAATATTTTATTTTTATATTAACTTATTAAATATATTTTATTCTTATCTTAACCTAAAAATATATTTTATTCTTATTTTAACTTAAAAATATATTTTAGTCTTTGTCTTAACTTAAAACATATATTTATTTTATCTTAACTTATTACATAAATTAAAATAAATTATACCAAATATTAAATTAAAAATAAATTAAAATAAATTTAATCATTCAATCGAATGATGACACATTTCATTACACTTGGCACCAGTGACACATGACACCATTTGATTTGGGGGTTAAGCTTATTTTAATTTATTAAAATTAGGACCAAATTGATAGATTATATAAGTAACAGTGACCAAATGTGTAATTATACCAAATATTTTAACTGTCACATCAATGTCTATGTTAAATATTAATGGCAAGTGACTAAATTGAATGCATTTAAATAGTTGAGTGATATGATTGATAAAATTTTAAAAATAGTGGTCAAAATGAAAATGGGCAATAGTTAGGTGGTCACTGGTATAATTGACCCTTTATTTTAAATAATTTACCTTTAAACTTTATCTAATTTATAATTATACATTGAATCATTTAGAATTTTTAATTTTTATAAATTAAATTAATGACACTCATTGTTAATGGTGCTCATTAGTGTTCATCGAACGTTGTAGAATTTTCTATGGGTATAAACTTAAGAACTTATATTTAAAATTTAGGAGGAAATAAATTACAAAATTTTAGGAGTGTGAAATTAGATTATCAATAGAAATAACATAATGCTAAAATTAAGCTCTAAGTTTGCCAAAATGTTCATTTTGGATCCTATTATTTTTTTGAGCATTTTGACTCTAACAATTTATTTTAGGGCAAACATACCTCTGACATTTGACTTAATGTCATTTTAGCCCTTATTCTTTTTTTCTTTGGAGCATTTTGACACTCAATGTTTTATTTAGGATAAAAATACTTTATTTTGGAGCGTTAATTAATTGTTAACTAACGATTTTGTTATAATATCGAAACTATTATCAACAATTGAAAAAACACTAAGATTTACATGAAAACTCCACATGTAGATGAGAAGAATTTAAGTGATATGAAAGAAGAAAATACAAGAGGATTTTGGTGAAAGAAAAAAAATTTGATATCTAACTCTTACCTTTAGTATCTATTTATAGGTCTAGATACTTGATAACAAAGAAAAACTAAATATAATAGAAATCTAGTCATCTACTTTTAATTAAACTAGGATTCTTACTTTTTAAAATTTAAATATTAATTTGTGCCTATTTGAATTCGAGCCAAACTCTAATAAATTTGAGTTCATAGAAGAATCTTTTGTCACTAAATGAAACATTGATGACCAAAATACTCTAAAAACAATAAGGTTAAAGTTAGAAATTTTTTGACATTATATCTAAAAATACAAACAAAACATCTAAATTTAAAAATCCAAGAAATACAACCATATCTCATCACCCGTTCAATCTATCCCTAATTGTAACCCAAAATTTTCAACGAGTGATTCACTGAATCCTTTCAATTGGATTTCATCTTGCACTTATTGTGTCCTCCTTTCGATAATGTAGTATGGAAGTCGCATTGACAAGTAGATTACTATATACGTTAGAAAGAGGTGAATACCACAAAAAAAAAAAAAACAAAGGGTTCTGTTCAGGAGCTTTGAAAAGGTTATAGAAATTTGATCCTTTTGTACCCATTTAATATAGTTGTGTTGTCATCACAAAAAGAAAATAAACAAAGGGTGGGGTCAACTACTAAAACATTTTAACCAAGGGCTAGAGCCTAGAGGACCAACCTACCCACTAGTGCTGGTCCCGACCTTCTTTGGCTTATCATTCAGCTTGGAGATTCCACGCCACTTGGTGGTCTTGTGTTTAGGGTTAAAACCATTAATTGGTTTTTTAATTACTAATTCAATTGATCCTTTTTAAAATAATATTAATTGAACCCAATAATATTTGAGTTTTAATGTATATGGCTAATTTACTCAATTTAAATTAATTTTAGGATAAAATATATGTTTAGTATTTAAATTATTACTTTCATTTCATTTTGGTATCTAAACTTTTATCTTTTAAAAAATATATCTAAAGTTTAGTTTAGGTTTCATTTTGATACCCTTATAATTAAAAACTTAACGATGATGTTGACGTATCATAATAAGATAATGTCATGTCATTATTGAAAAAATGTCACATCAATAGTTTTATTAAATTTTTTGATGACAGTACCAAATTGAATCTTAAACTAAATATTATGCATAATTTTGAAGAAAAGGTAAAGTTGAGTACCAAAATAGAATAAAACTAATAATTTAGATAATAATTGTATAGTTTTCCCATAATTTTATTAAAACAATTAATATAAAGTAACCAAAGAATTGAAAGATGCTTAATTTTTCTCAAACTCAAAACCAATTAGAACACAAAACGTGGCGATAAAAACACTGACACGTGGAGAATATAGTTCGGGGTAAAAGCGGCACTTTGCCCCTCTCCCTCTGTCAGTCTGTCTTTCAATCAGGTATTTGAATGTTCAAAAAATTTTAACTTTGTTTTCTTCCTTCTCTCACACGCTCTCTTCCCCGTTTTCGACGGTTCTAACGGACCACCTCCGCCACTTCCGTCATTATTACAGCCGCTGTTGTCACGATCTCCCATTTTAACCACCTCAGCTAACACATTTCTTATATCTTCTTCTTCTCCTTCTTCAGAAATAAAACTTTTCGAGAGTATCTTTTTTGTTTTGTTCAAAGATCTGAACATTTTTGGTTTATGAGTTCTTCTTGGGATCCTTTTTCTTTTATTTTTCTTCGGGGATTTTCTATCTGGATTTCTTCGAAATACCTGTTTCTTTCTTCTTTTGTTAGTTTGAGTGAAAATGGAGATATTGGGGCAACGGAGGCCTAAGATTTCGAGCTTCTCTTCTGACCAGACCTTAATGGACTTGCTTCCTTCAACTGCACCTTCTTCATTCAGAGGTTCGATTCTCTCTTCATTTTTCTCTTTTTGACGTAATTTTGAGTGTTTTCTTCGCTTGTTTTTGCCGTTAAGGAATCCGAGGCAGAATGATTCTTCTTTTGCTTCTTGAATTTTTGTTTCGTTTTGTTTTAATATATAAAAATTCCACATGTGCTTTTCCATTGCTAATTTATCTTGCAATACTTTCTTCATTATTCTTCTGTTAAATGTAAGATTTTTAGCTTGCGTTTTATTATAATAATTCGTACCATTTTCCCCCGTTCTGTTAATTTGATGAGTTTTCATGTTCTAAGACATTTTTAGTCTGCCCTTCTGTTTATGGAACAACTATCCTAATAATTTTATAAGGATTTATTTCCAGGAAACATGAATCTTCAAAAACAGAGACATTTTCCAAAATCGGCATCTGATTCTGGATCTTGCAGTAGTGCTACTACAGACGAAGATCAGGTATGCTATATTTTTCCATTATTGTTTCATATGATAAAATTTATCCACGTTTCTTGCTCTAGATTCTCCTGTATTTTTTATTTTTTATATGAAATGATTCATGAGTTAATTCATAATTCTGACTGCCGGGGTCTCCACGGAAACCTCCCCTTACCCCCATTACATATCGGAATAGGGTCAACTAATTTTTATTCATGAGGTAATAGTTGTTATATTAATCAATTGTTTCTGGTTGTTGCAGTTAACGTTTGAGTTCACTTCTACATCTTCAAAAACAATCAATTGCCACCCCATTGAAGAAGTTGTTAGCGCCCGAGATGTCTGAAGAAAACGAATCTCGGAGACGACCGCCTAGTGTTATTGCAAGATTGATGGGCCTTGATGGACTGCCGCCTCAGCAGCCTAGCCACAGGCGGCGAAAAGGAACTGAGAGTAGCCACGAGAAAGTTCAAAAGGGTAGTACATTCAATGGCAGGAAATCTTCTAGGAAAAGTTCTAAGGACGAGCAGGAATTCAAAGATGTTTTTGAAGTTTTGGATGCAGTAAAAATGGAGAGTGCTGCTTACTCTTCACAAGGAACTGCAAACTCAAACCTTTCTGATGCTGAGGTAGCCTTTATTCGACAGAAGTTTATGGAGGCTAAACGTCTTTCAACTGACGAAAGGCTTCAAGATTCTGAGGAATTCAATGATACCCTCGAGGTGTTAGACTCCAACACAGATCTTCTGCTGAAATTCTTTCAACAACCAGATTCATTATTTACGAAGCACTTACATGATTTGCAAGGTGTGCTACCCCGGTCCCATTGTGGTCGAGTATCAGCCATGAATTCATCACGCACTCTGAATAATGAGAACGGTATCCTAGCACACAAAAATGGGAGAGAAACTCGGACAAAGTGCCACTTTAAATCTCCTCAGGGCCATCAAGAAGATTGTCTAAGTCACATTCATGGGAGATTTGCTGCTCACAGTGCCCCCAAGTCACCTACATTTCAATTAGAAGAGAAAAATGGGTCAGCTATTGTACCCACAAGAATTGTTGTCTTGAAACCAAATCTTGGGAAGATACAGAACTCTTCCAGAACTGTTTCATCACCTCGTTCTCCTCGTCATTTTCCATCCAAGTGCACAAGACACTCGGAAATTTTGGTTGTCCAAAATAAGGAGGCAGAAATGCGGGGGAAGAATAAGGTTCATCAAGATACTGAGTTTTCGAGGTATAATTCTAGAGACTCTAGGGAAATGGCCAAGGAAATTACTAGGAAAATGAAAAATAGCTTTCAAAATAGCTCAATGACAATTCCGACCTCCTTGTTGAGAGGATATGCAGCGGATGAGAGCTCATATGATGTATCTGGATCTGAATCTGCAAATGATTCAGATGTAACAACGGTGTCCTACAGAGATAACATTGACCGGAATAAGCAACATAGGAGGTCATCATCCCTTTCTAGTGAATCATCAGTCAGTAGAGAGGCCAAGAAGAGATTGTCTGAGAGGTGGAAATTAACACACAAGTCTCAAGAGCTGCACATGGTCAGCAGGGGCAGCACACTGGGTGAAATGCTTGCCACTTCAGATAGGGAAGGTGTTCCTGCAAATTCTACTGGTCTGGTTGATGTGGAACGATGCAATGAGGTTCGTCATCGTGTTGAGCCTGCAGTTTGGAATGAACCTTTAGGCATTAGCAGTAGGGATGTTTGGAAGGATGGTAATCTTTCAAGATCACGATCTCTTCCTGCTTCATCTACCGACTTTGGAAGTCCTAGAATAAGCACTCGTCACGAAAGTCTTCTCAGAGACAAGCATGTGATTCTGAAAGAGGGTTTCAAGTGGGATAGAAACAAGGCAGTAAAAGGAAATTTTAACCAGAAGGAAGCTTCATTACCTAGCAACCAAAGATCATGTGTTAAGACGTCCCAATTTCTGGGTGGCAGTCACTGTGATAAGGACTATAGTGACATTCAACAAGATTCTGATATCGCCCCATATCAAGTAAAACAAAATAAGCAATCTGAACAGATACCTATGGTCTCAGGGGATTCTGTTGGTACTATTGTCGATTCAAGTTCAGTTCTTGAAAATGAAGTGGATGTCAATGATCTGAATAATTCTGTGCTTTCTGAATGTTCTCGCATGGAATTATCGGCTCCTGCTTCATCAAATGCTGCTGTTGCTTCTACTCGTGACCTAGATAATTTGGACTTCCTGGTATTTCTTTCGTTCAAACTGTGTTTTAGTTTGGCAATATCCTATTTTGTGAATATATTCTTTGATGTTGCCCATGGTGTTGCATACTGTTAGTTATTTGCTCTATTTGACAAACCAAATACCTTGGGCAGCCTTTGGCCTTTCTAGCAAAATTTTGTATCTCAAAGATCTATATATTATATAGAATTATAGATTATAAGAAATTCTAAGGAGATATTTCTCTACTCTGACATACGAGTCTCTCTTGTGATAATCTCCAGGAACCATCTGAGGGACCATTAGAGCAAACCACACCGCATTGCCCTGTATCGGAACTATCTCTAGCAAGCTCTAAGGAAGCAGAGCAACCTAGTCCAGTCTCGGTTATAGAAGCTCCATTTGCAGATGATGTGTCATCTGGTTCCGAATGCTTTGACAGTATTAGTGCCGATCTTCACGGTAAATGGCAGTTTTAGTCTCTTTACTTTTATATTTAGGTAAATGGCTGTTTTAGTCTCTTTACTTTTATATTTAGCTTCCACTCTTTTTTTACGAGTGTTTATGCTTTCAGAGCTTCGGATCCAACTTCGACAACTAAAACTAGAATCCGAGGCATATGAAGAGGGAACTATACTTCTTTCAAGTGATGATGATTGCAATGAAGTATCTGTTGGGTTTATAGAGGACAATGGGAGACCAAATGCCGAAGAGAATTTCGATTCCATATACATAGTTGATGTCTTGGTTGATTCTGGAATTGGTCAAGCTGAACTGGATACCTTCTTAGCAGCATGGCATTCTCCAGAATGCCCAATGAACCCACTCGTATTCGAAGAACTCGAGAAAAAATATTGTCACGTAAACTCTTGGTCAAGGGCTGAAAGGAAATTGATGTTTGATAGGATTAATTCAAAAATTCTGGAAATCTATCAACAATATAAAGACCAGCCCTGGATGATATCTAGAAGGAAAATTACTATTCCGAAATGTGACACCGAAGACCTTGAAGATAGCCTGCTCAAGTTACTAGCAAGCCAAAACAAGAAACCTCACATGGATGGAGAGATGGTGTTTGCAGGGGAATTTCAATGGTTAGACTTGAGTGCAGATATCGATAAAATAGGCCGGGGAATCGAAAGATTGTTGGTAGATGAAATAGTATCCGAGTCTATGGCACTTTTGGTTTAGGAAACTTATATACGAAACTTATGAAATGGTGTCATTTCATGTCTGTATCAATAAGTTCTAAATTTTCACCAGCAAAAATTATCAAAACCTTGAGTGTCAATAAAAAAGTACTATATTTATATATGTAATAACAATTTATGTTGTACGAGCCATATTCCGATGAAAGAGCGTTGTTTTCAGCAAGACGACGGTTAATTGCAACACAATATCGAATTGAAGTTAGATTATGTCTAATGTTTGTAAAGAAATATATCATGAGTTCTATTTACGCAGTGCAACAATAATTGCAGTAGGTATCATAAAAGAGTGCAGCTACGAGGCTGCTTCAGCAGGTCGAGGAACAGACTGCCATCCGGTACAGTGCTTTACGACATGTTTAAGAGCTTCTGTAGCGGGTTGCACTGTCCATGTAAGGTAGTATTCACTTGGATGAAACACGTCAGACATAACATTCTCAGTCATCAACCCTGCTTGGGTTCCTGATATAAAATCCCCTTCTGACCTTATGCAGCCGGTGCAAGCATCATCCTTGTCGGCAGCCTGTATCACCAATACATCGACAGTTTCAATGACTACATGCCATTGCATCAACGGTTCGAAGATCAACAGAAGATATATGGAAGATAGTTTATAGCTCCTCAACCGAAGGGAATGGCAAACATGGCTTCCAAAGTAAGACTTAAGGGAACAAGCAAAGTAAACATTTTTCTTCTTCATCCTTGCATAAATGTTTGCTCAATATAAAATCATGCAAAATGACTTCTCTTTATCAAGTGAGGTCAAAACACTAGTAAAGAAGCAAATCACCTTTCGTGAAGATACTTTAAAGCCACCTTCTTCTGCCCTGCTTCGTATATATTGCACTGAGAGTATATCTGATTTCATGTAGTAAATTAAAACCGTTATCTTTCTCCATAAACAGTGAATTTTTGGAAGAAAGTTTACGCATAAGAGAATAATCACCTGTGATTCCACACTGGCACAAACAGCATAAATGCCCTATTTTCTAGTTATTGTACAAATGTACCTTCCCGTATCTAACACGAGGATGGTGTTGCCGAGTTCCATCAAAAAAGCAGTGGTGAATAGTTATCCGGATACACCTATCACCAATATGAGACGGGTCTGCTCCGATTAGCATTGTCTTGTCGTGCTGTGAGAAGTGACACCTGAGAACCAAGTTAACGATCGTTTAATGTAAGTTTTAACCTTCCCAACAGCAGATACTTTCCCGGAAATGATAAACCTCATCTGGAAACAGTAATATCGGTGCTTCCTCGGGTGATGTCGATCAATCCATCGTCATAATCACGAAGGCTGCAACGGTCTATCCAAATGTGCTTGGAGTTGGGTTTTATTTGGATCCCATCAACATCCGGACCTCTACCACCTTCAAACTCCAAATTGCACACGATAACATGTTCACACTCCTTCAGCCTCAGACCTTTGCCGGTGAGTTTTATCTGTTGGCCACGTCCATCGATGATCTTATACGATGATGCACTCAAGTAAGACGAAAGATGAATGGTTCCGGAAAATTCGAAAACGATCCAAAGGGGCTCTTTTCGACGACAACCATCGCGCAACGATCCCGGTTCATCATCTACAATCACCAATCAAAATCACTCCTAGTTTTATTCAAGTAACTAAACTATCCACACCCAATTTCAATACATGATGTTCTATTCAGACGATCGATTCGAAATTTGTAACCTAGCCATCAATTTAACTTAAATTAAGGAATTCAAAAAGTTCAAGCTTTAATGGGGTTCTAAAAAGGAAACCCACCCACAAAAAAAGATCTACTTTTTCTTAAAAAAAAGAAGCATCTTTTCAACATGGCAAATGAAATAGAAAGGAGAGGGAGTTAGACCTGCTAAAGTGGTGACATGGTAGAGAGAACCTTGCAGGCCACCAATGGAAAAGCGGCCAAAGCCCTCAGCTTGGCCGGCGAGAGCTCGAAGAGTAGAGTCGACATGAACATAAGGCAAAGAGTGAGCCATGTGGGGTTGGGGCTTTCAGTTGGGGAGATATATAGTAAGGAGGGGTGGGAGTTGTTGGATGATGGTGGTCATTGCGGTGTTTGCGGTGGCCGTGAGCGTTTCCCATTAATGGTCGTAACAGCTGAAAAACGTTTAGGGAATTGATTTTTTTTTTTTTTTTTTGCAATGGAAGAGCTTTGTTACGTAGAAGAGATTGACTGGCTAAATTCTGTGATGCAAAGTGCAAACAGTGGTTTTTGCTGACAAATGATTTTGGGTTCCTTATGATTGTTCGTCCTAAAAGCGTTTGCTTACACCTGGCAGAGGATTTTTTTGCATTTGATTTTAGGTATAGGTATATAATACTTAAATTATCAGTTTTAATTCGTTTTAGTATTTAAATTTTTAATTTTTTTAAAATTATATCTAAAATTTAATTTTTGTTTTATTTTAGTATCTCACCGTTAAAATATTAAAGAGAAAATCGCCTCAGTGACCAAAAAAAAGTTATAATATACGATTTTAACCAACTTTTTTTGGATTTGCCAAAATGACCAACAAAATCGCAACGCGAAATAAAAATCGCAACGCGATCCCCAGAATCGCAAATCAGTTTCCAAAATCGCAACGCGATTCTTGAAAATCGCGATGCGATAGTACAAATTCGCATTGCGATTTTCAATAATCGCAACGCGAATATGAAAATCGCAACGCGAACACATAAATCGCAACGCGTATCCGTAAATCGCAACGTGTATCCGTAAAATCGCAACGCGTATGGGTAAATCGCAATGCGTATCCGTATATCGCAACGCGTATCCGTAAATCGCAACGATAATACATAAAATCGCAACGCGTATCCGTAAATCGCAACGTGTATCCGTAAATCGCAACGCGTATCCGTAAATCGCAATGCGTATCCGTAAATCGCAACGCGTATCCGTAAATCGCAACGATAATCCGTAAATCGCAACGCGTATCCGTAAATCGCAACGATAATCCGTAAATCGCAACGAGAATCTGTAAATCACAACACTGAAATTTTGGGTATATAACACTGAAATCATAAACTAAATCCCTAAATCGCAACTCATTCCATCTCCATCTATCACTCTCTCCGGCGACATCCGTTCCTATATCCAACGACATCCTTCCCAATCCGGCAACAGGTTTTAGTTTCGCAGCTCGTCTGTTTAGTAAATTAATTTACAACCATGAAATCATCTGATCATGTTTGGATAGATTTGTGTTTTGGAGGGTCATGGGATAATGTTCATGGTGTTTTACAATATATGCCTTTACCCATGAATCTTCAACTAAAATTGTCTTTACAAAAGTTAACTTATGAAACTCTAATGCTACGTGTTTCAAATAAATTGAATTTAGAGCCCCTAAGTGGATTTAGGCTATCTTATCAGAGAAATGGTAAAGTTTATTTGTTAACCGACAATGAAGATGTTGAACGATTCATTGCTTACATTAGTGTTTCACAAGATGATGTTACATTGTATGTTGTTGAACCTAGAAGTAGTATTGTTGGGTCAGTAGCGGGTAGTAATCAACTAAGTTTTTCTCAAAACCCACAACCTTTCTCTAATCCAAATCCCAATCAACTTTCAGCACCAAATTCCGGTTTTCGTATTGACCAGTTAGACGATGATGAGCCAACAGAAAAATTGTAAGTACTAGTCAGTATTCGAAATTTGGTCTTGGTCAATATCCGGACTTTGATATTGGTCAATACACGGATTTGATGATGTTTCAGAAGAAGAAACAGACCATGTGTGTAATGATTTTAATATTGGTCAATACCCGAATTTTGATGATGAAACACCCGTTGCCGAGGAAGATGTTGTTGATGATAATGAGGAGGAAGTTACGACTGTGAATGAACATGTTGAACATCCATTCTGTAATTCATATAATCCTGAAGAAGAAAAAGAAGAAGAAAAAGTCCCCGAAGAAAAGAAAATGCCACGGGAGTATAACTGGAATATGCCAGAATTACTTCAGTTACCGGAAGAAGAGTTGGCAAAGAAAGCAGTTGATTGTTACACAAAAGTTATTCGTGTCAAGAAAGATGATTGTTTTGATACAAAGGAAGACTTGAAGATAGCTTTGTATACAAAATGTGTGGAAGATGGCTATCAACTAAAAGTTAACAAATCAAGCAAAGATCGTTTCGAAACAAGGTGTATGATTGACAAAAACTGTACGTGGCGTATGATTGCAAAGAGAATAAAAGATTGCAAAATGTTTCAAGTTAGGACTTTTATTGATAAACATACATGTTCAAGAACCCAAGTTTTTCCTCACCATAGACAGGCAAACAAAAAGGTGTTGGGTGGTTTTCTGGCTGAGTTAATGTTTTTGAATGGCAGGGTATATCGGGGACATGAAATTATGACTGACATGAATGCTCGGTTCAAGATTAGTATATCATATTCTCAAGCTTGGAGAGCCAATGTTATGCCTTGGAATTGTTGAGGGGGTCGCCAGAAGCATCGTTTGCCCAACTGCCGGCTTATTGTCACAATTTAAAGCTGAAAAATCCTGGGTCGGTAACTCATATCAAAACAGATAGAGATGGACGCTTTGAGTTGCTGTTTATCGCCATTGGTGCTACGGTTAGTAAATCAATATAATTTTGTTGACTCATTTTTGTTAGTTACATGCATTTCACATTTAAATGATTATATTTCTTGTGTATATTATTTGTAGATTCGTTCGTTTATTACTTGCATGCGCCCAGTTATTATAGTTGACGGAGCACATTTGAAAGGTCGATACCTTGGAGTAACTTATTAGCAGTAGCCATGGATGCTAACAATGGGATATTGCCAATAGCTTACGGGGTTGGCAAATCTGAAACCTCTGATTCATGGACATGGTTTATGGGGCATCTTAGGGATTGCATAGGTCCTATTAGCAATCTGACAATCATATCCGATAGGGCAAACTCAATTGACAACGCTGTTAGAAGGTGTTTCCCAGATGCTTTTCATGGACTTTGTGGTGTTCATTTGTATAGAAATCTAAAATCAAGGTCTGCTGGTATAAAAAAGCACAAATGGACATACTGGAAGGCTGTAAAAGCTTATCGGGAAGTGGATTTCAATAAGCATATAAATTGTTTAAGACGTGTTTTGCCTCAGTGTGCTCAAACACTAGAAGATGTCGGGTTTGAAAGATGGTCAAGAGTACATCAACTTGGAGCAAGATATGGTTTCATGACGTCTAATAGTGCAGAATCAATCAACGCTCTAAGTCGTCATTCCCGGAAATTACCCATTACTATGTTAATGGAGTTTTTTCGAGCCTCTATTCAACAGTGGTACTACAAGAAAAGAAACCATGCAGGTATTATTTCTTTGAATTCGTAACTTATCATATTTATATATTTTACTAAGTATTGTTTATTTAAATTTACAGGAACATTGGAACATCGTGTTACACCATGGACTGAAAAAAAGATAACGAAACGTGTTGTGAAGTCAACGTCATGGAGAGTTGAACCATGTTCAAACACTTTGTTTCAAGTACTGGATAATAACTTAAATGGGCTAGTCGATCTAAATGCAAAGACGTGTAGTTGTATGAAATGGCAAACATCTGGTTATCCGTGTGGCCATGTTATAAAGTTGCTCTTCATTTAAACCAAGATGATTCAAGCGCATACGCTATGGATTGCTACACTACAGAAGTTTATCGACAGACTTATGCCGAGATTGTCTACCCTATTCCACATCCTTCTGAGTGGGACATACCAGATGACTTACAAACAGTTTTGCCACCAGCCATGGACAGAAGGCTACCTGGCCGACCAAAAAGTCACGATCGTATACCGTCTAAGGGTGAAGAGAAGAAGAGATCGACATGTAGTCGGTGCAAGGAAAGTGGTCATACAAGGTTGACATGTGGATCACCAGTGCCATCAAAATCATCTTTTCCTCTACCAAAATATGGATCCTCATCAAAATCCAAAGCTCATATGGTGTCAAGCAAAAGGCACTCATCTTTAAAATCCCAATCACGATTGGCTTCACCTTTTGAGACTGTTAACTTAGGTGATTTTTAAATGCAAACGTTGTATTATGTGGATTTTATGTGTGAACTTTTAACATTTTCAGTTGAATTAATGACTCAGGCCAACCATTTTGACTTAACCAACTCTTGTTATTCAGTTGTTATCACTATTAGGCATGCATTTGACTATCGCAACACGGAAAATACAATCGCAACGCGAAATGAAATCCCAACATGAAAATCGCAATGCGGAAATGAAAATCGCAACATGAAAATCGCAATGCGGAAATGAAAATCGCAACGAGAGAATCGCAATGCGAAATGAAAATCCCAACATGAAAATCGCAATGCGGAAATGAAAATCGCAACGAGAGAATCGCAATGCGAAATGAAAATCGCAATGCGAAATGAAAATCGCAACGAGAGAATCGCAATGCGAAATGAAAATCGCAATGCGAAATGAAAATCGCAATGCGAAATGGAAATCGCAATGCGAAATGAAAATCGCAATGCGAAATGAAAATCGCAACGAAAGAATCGCAATGCGAAATGAAAATCGCAATGCGAAATGAAAATCGCAACGAGATAATCGCAATGCGAAATTATAAACGCATTGCGATTCTCTCGTTGCGATTTTCATTTCGCATTGCGATTCTCTCGTTGCGATTTTCATTTCGCATTGCGATAGTCATTTTTGCCTTCAACATAATGCAGATTGAAATCAACAAAATCAACCATTACATTTCAATCAATTAACAAGCACAAATAAGAATTATGTTCGCATCAATTACACAAATCAACTTTTACAAATCATCTTTTACAAATCAATTAAACAATCAAAAAATAAGCAATAATTCTTATTTCCGATCATCTACTATTGAATCAACTTTTACAAATCAATTAAACAATCAAAAAACAATCAATTAAACTATTGAATCAACTTTTGCAGCTCGACATCATTTTCACGCAGTTCACTTCTGAGATTAACCTGCAGAAACCAAACATTTGTTCAGACAACACTTTCTACAAATTATTGAATTCTAGTTACTTAACCAAACATTTTCAAACCAAAAGTATATAAACTTACCAATTGTTTATGGACATTTTTATAACGCGGATGCAGGTAGGCAGCGTCTCGTATATATCGATTTAGCCATATAATGCCGAAACCACACGCCTACTGCAG